GCTGATGACAAATTTTTCACATCCCATTACAGACCATCCCACTGTATTAACTATCCTCATTAATAAACATCTGCACATTACTCCAAGGATATATTTGAGTAGCTTCAGCTTTTTGATCTTGTCATGTCTCAGTTCTCTCTTCTCATAAATCTCCCCAAACAACAATCATATCATCCCCTGCACACTCGTTACCCCTTGCTCTCTTGTTACAGACTTGTGTAGGTTTACACCCCTTCAATCTCTGTTTAAAGCAGGTTCCAAGCCCCCATGCCACCCTGTAGTCCTTGAGATACCTTTGCCTTTTTATCACTGAACAATATGTATTGCAAAATATTTCACTGGGAGAAAACTCTGATATTACAGTATTCAGAGCTTTCACATTAAAAGAAACTTCTATCCAGTTCTGTTCTCTGTTCTGAGCTTTACCAGAAAAGGAGTTTTCCAAGTATCATTGAGAACAGGTATCTTCAGAGTATGAATTAATTTAGTTCAAGGGCACCCAGCAAGCTGTGTTATAATCCCACTTTCAGCTGAAGCACAGATAACATTGTTAGTAAGTGTCATGTCAAAGGACGTATGACAACTCAATGACAGATGCAGGAATAACTCCTGAAGTCTAATTGTAAGCCCCTTATCTTTAAGTGGAGTACCTGAGAATAGGAGAAGGCCAGACCCGTAATGGAGAACATCACCTCCCCAGCAGATATTAATAAGTATTGTGGTAACTGCCAAGCCATATGGACATTGTTGGCTTGGATGTCTTCAGACTTCCATATCTTAACAGCATCTCCAGAAATCTAGAAGGAAAATAAAGGCACACTGAGTAGTTGCTGAAAGATCAGATCTTTCTTAGCCTGGACAAGAGAGAATTTACCAAAACGAAGTTTAAGCAAAGGTAGAAGAAAAGCTCTGCCTTTGAAGCAGAACTATGGGTCTGGCCCTTGCCATTTTCAAGGCTGTTGAGAATGGGCTGACTCCTGCTGCACAGGGCAGAGGGAGCAGGATGAAACATTCCAGCTCTTTCATGTGCCACAAGAATTCCCTGAGTTACTGCAAACTGACAATTTGTCTTCTATGGTGGGGCTGGGAAAAGCCTGTGTGGTACTTGTGCAGAGCCTGTGACCTGCTGCTATCCCCAAGGCCAGAAAAAGGGTGAGAAGAGAAGTGCTCATTGGTTACTGCTCCCATTTTATCAGCACTGTACAGCTTCCCTACGATAACAGTGACACCCAAATAATGCCAAGAGTAGCAAATACTGTTCCATATCAGATGTATTCAGACAGTTATGGTAGCTGTAATTTTTGTTTGCTTTTCCAGGTATAATTGATACTGCCTCTGATGCACAGAGGCTCAGAGGCAGAGAGAGATTTGACTAGTAGCCAGGAAAACACTAGGCTCAAATGACTTCAGGCAGAAAGCCCCGTGTTTAAGTAGAGTATTTGGGAAAATACAAGGGATGTTTATGAGATGTACTTAGTCACCAATCATTGCTAGGGAGGCAAATCAAGTGACTGTATTTTAGCAGGCTAAAAGGGGTGAGAGGAGAGCTGTGCATTGCTCTTCAGCCCATAAAGAAATGTCACAAGCACCATACTCTAACTGCACACTGAAGAAGGCTGGGTAGAAGGCAGCATCCTCATGATTTAACTATCACAGCTCAGACATATTAGCAGATTAATATATTGTATTCTTGGTTCTTCTATATGGCACTCCTGGCAGAGGAGCAGGGCTCAGTACAAATCACTGCAGTAATTAAAAGTGATCTTGGCCTGGAGCAAACTAACTCTCTACAGAAGGCAGAAACCACAGAGAGAGATATGGGAAAACAGAGGGTTGAG